TAATATTTTAGTTTTCGTCCAACAAATATGAATGAGAATAGTTTATAGAAATTCGAAAGAATCTCATTCATTAAATTTAATACTTATTCAATTTAAGAAATATTACACTAGAACTAAAAGAAAAATGTATTGATCTTTCAAGATTTATTTATTATTAATTTGATTTAAATAAAAATGATATTAATATTAATTGATTAATATTCTGAACTATTGTTTGATGTACTCAATAATAGTAGTTTAATCATCATCATCATCATCTCCATCATCTTCTTCAATATCTTGAATTTCATGATCATCATCATTATCATCATCATTTTCTCCTGTTTTCGATTGATAATCAATAGAATCATCATTATCCCAATGTTCATGACATATATCATCATTTTCAACTTGACGAATAGTCCATGCATCAAAACAGAAATTTGAATTTGTCATATAATCATATGGAATATAACAATATCCTTTATCACCCTAGAATTAAAACAAAGTTAAGATAATTTTTTTAAGAATAAATTTATATTTTTTACCCAATCTTCTCCCCATGAATTTCTAACAATAAATGCTCTTGATTGATCACTATAACCAACAGCTAATAATGCATGTCTATTATGAAAAATCAATCTATTATCATTGAATTTTTAATAGAAATTCCAAAATAATACCTTCCATGTTCAGTTCGACTTTGTTCATCTTCATTTGGTATTGGTACAACACCTGTTTTAGATGCTTTATCAAATGATTTATATAATCGTAAACCAAATGCAAATGGAAAACCTTGTGCAAGACATGATTTCATTTCATCTAAATTAATATTTATTTTAAGTGCTTCAGTTATTTGATGATCTTTAGCTTGTTCATAAGCTTGATCATTAGGTCGAACATTAACAGATGTTATATCATAAGGCCAAACTGATTCAAAACAAGTACCAAATTCTTCTAATGCTTCAATAGCATCTGTCATTGAACAACCTTTATCAGTTACTGCAGTTGATTTTTTAGTACGTCCATTATAATAAATAAATAAACGACTCATATCAATATTTGAACCATTCACTTTTTTTAACAAATATTCATAAGCTCCTATGATAAAAACAACATATGAAACATTTAATAAAAAAATTCATAGTTTTTCTTGTTATACCCGCAAGTGAATTTGCTGAACTGAATAGAAAAAATAACAAAATAAAGATAATAAAATCGATTATTCTTCTTACCAACTACCAATTCTTGATTGATCTTCGACAGGTGTCATATCAGGTCGAAGATCAACTTTTGGTGGAAGTTGATCAGTACTATATAAGACATGATCAGAAAAAAACTGTCGTAAATTTTCTTTGGATGGCATTCGAGTTGATGGCTTGATACCATTGAGCCGAAATTTTTTATCATTAAATCGATTATATAAATATGTTCGAATTGGCATTGCTAAATTCTGTATCGTATGAAAAAAGACAAGCTTGACTAGTATTTATACGAACAAGTTTACAACCTATCGATAATTATAATGATATTAGCTTCTTCTTGTTTTTTTGTGTATAATATTGAATTAAAACTTTCGTGTTTTTTTTTTATTAGGTTGTTTTTTCTTTTCACGCATCATTTCACGGCTCTATATCAGACCGTCTATCGACAAGCACATCGTTGTTTTTTCTTCTTTCTTTATTGCAACCTTTAAATTAATATCGAAAGTGAAGCTTACCAATTATGTATTTTACTATATGTAACAAGGTAATTAGAAATATCTATTCAATATAATTATATTTATGATTAATTATGATTTTATACATTTTTGCATGAAAATGTTTTTAAGATTACAAAATAATAAATGGAGCATGAAAAATAATATTAAAAAAATATTCTATAACCTTTTACTCAAAGATTCAATGCATAACAAAATAAATATGACATTTACCTTTACATAAAGTATAATATTGTTTCAAAAAATATTGTATCTAAAACATTTAAATTTTGATTTTTAGTAACACATGAAATATTTAGTCTTGTGTGATATGATGTGAAGATGATTTTTTTGTTTTTGCAATTGATGAAAATAATAAATTGAATAAAATGATTACTTCTTAGTATTCAAATAATATTGACGAGGGAAGTTCTCCCATCTAATTCATCACTTTTGAATCGAAAACATGTCCATCAATTGCTGAAAGTTTCAGCTGAAAATACCTTTCCTTTGTAAATTCGGCTGATATTCCTATGAAACGTCGCCCGTCCTTTATTACTAAACAAAAGAAAATTTGCAGAACTTATCTTCCAACTTAATACATTATACACATATTTATTCAAACAAAACTACTTTATTTCACAGATTACTACTTATTACACAAAATCATTTTCATCTCTACATAGATTTTATTTTCTTACAACAATAGACAAGACAATTTTCTTTTATTTTATTCTGGTTTTCTTAAATTTAATACTTTATTGTTTCGTATTTCAGAACATTATTGAATAACATATTTTTGCATAAGGAAAATATTCTTGTAAAGATAAATTGGAACATTTGCTTTCAGCACGTAATCTTAAATCATTTATTTTGGTACAATTAATTCGTGTAGCATCTCTTGTAAAATTATGTGTTACTCGCTGTAAAGACTTATAATCAATACAAAGACGAACATTATTTGGCAAATACGTTTTAGTATCAAATAAAAGTTGTTCTATATAATCATCATGGACATGGACAAGCTTAAGTTCACAAAGAAACAAATATTCAATAAGAGATAAATTTTGATTATCATTGTTTGATTCATAAGCTTGTTTACGATTTTGTGATTTACGATTAATCACAGATAATCGTTCCATAAATGGAAATGATTGGGCAATTTGAAGAAAAAATTCATGTTCAAAAGGAGTCATCACATAATGACACTGCACGAACATATTCAAATAATCCGCCTGGGAAATGATTTGTAATATCACCGTAATATGGCATAAAAGATGGATATGAATAAATATGACATCGACCTTGTCGTGCCTCTGGCAAATAATCAACATAAGAAATAATTTGATTATTTCGAAAGTCAATGAATGTCTGTTGAATATCTTCTGTTGATGGACAATATATTTGATTACGAATAAACTTGATTGAGCGAATATAAAATCTAAATTGATTTAATCTTGGCATACGATTAATAATGTTTTTCTTCAAATGGTTTCCATCAATAAATGTCTCATTAACATAGACTGCAAGATATAAACTGAGTTCCTCTAGATTTGACATTCGATTGAGAAGTGGAAGGATTGTTGTATTATAAGCAAGTGTTTTACTCTCACATGACAGAGAAAAACACTTTAGATTTGGTAAATCACCCTAAAAAACAAAATTTGTTTTCCTATTTGACAACATAAAAGTTTTCCTTGTAAAACTAACTTGATTTTGAATTTCATCTTGATGATAAATATCTATTATATCAATATAGAGTGTATGAAGTTGATTAAAATGACCATCAAGAAGATAAAGACAATCTTCAATACATTGTACACTAATATTCAATTTCAAAAGAGTTGAAGAACGAAAAGTAGGAAGAGGTGGATCATCAAACCATAATAGAACACGATGTTTATACGATGATTCATATAATGTTAAACAAATTAGACTGGTGAAGACAGTCAAGATGTAATTGCATATGATTATGATTGTTAATTCTGTCTCGTTATTATGATCAATTGTAACAAAAAGTGTTGTAATCTGATCTTTGAAAATACCAGATGAAAGATTTTTGTCTAAATATATATATGTAGAATATTAGTAAGAAAAAAACCTATGAAAATAATATCAATATATTCATATGATATAGTCATCTATATGAATAAGTTTGATAGATTTTTCATTTTTGTTTTTAGAATAAGAACAATTGAATTGAAATATCTTACCAGTAAAAAGACATCGAGCTGACTCTTCATTAATATTATATAGACCAAGAGTATGTAAATTAGGATAATCGACAGCTTTTAAAACATATTTCATAGATGATGATTCAAGATCAAGCCATTGAATTTTATGATGAATCGAAGGTAAAATTTGTAAACAAAATCGATTAAGTATCATATCACAACAAATTAGATCGATAAAATTATGTGATAACCATTTAACAAAATTCAAATGACTTGTAAAAATTGGATCTTGAATAATTTTATTTAATCGTTGATTGACACCTTGGAAAGAATAAAGTATATCAAAATTGTTGAGTTTTTTGAAAATAATCATAAGGATTTCATCAGGTAAATCATTTAATCCAATGCATGAATATTCCATGTTTATTGTTACTGATCTATTCTTTTCGATATATGAAAAATCAATATTTATATGCATATATTCATCTATTCTATTTGACCAATGTTGTCAATACAAAAAATGATACATTTTTCTTTAGTCAACATTGATAATGAATTGAAAGTATAAATGAATGAATGAATATTGTTATTTCTGTTTTCTCATTTGTCTAATATATATGTCGTATCGAAGTTGCAATTTCGATGGCCGATGTAACTTCGATACGACATATATAATAATAAATGGTACTCTGTAGGTATTTATTTATTTATTTATTTTACAGTACATATGAACACTTGTAGGATTCAGTTAACATTTAATTAAAATTAAAATTAGTTAAAAAAGATTTCTCTAATTATTTGAGAAAATGAATCTAAAAGCTACAGGATAGACTCTAAAATACAAAGTTTATTTGAAATTTCATATTCAACTATAAGAGTATTTATTTCTTCGTTTATATACTCATACTTCAGCATGTTGCTATCGAAAACTACATTTGTCTTTTTTGTTGCAAAACTCTTAAGAAAGATTCTACAATTCCATAAATGATCTTGAAGAGGTATCATTTAGCGCTTTCAAAAAATGCTTTCTGAATTTGTCAGTTATTTTAAAATTAAATGTATGAAATAGAAACTGATGATCTTTTTAGATCGCATCACTAATGCTAATTTTTTTTTAGTGGTAACTTCGTTCAAGAAAAGTCTTCAAGACTGAATTTTCCGAGTCTGTGGAATAATTTAACATATGGGGATGTCCGGAAAGTCATTAGAGTTAGGAAAATTTGAATATGTTCATCATTCTTCAACCAAATGAGCTGAATTTTTTTTCTGAAGGTAGAGAACAGATAGAAGTTTTTATTGATGAAGGAACAGTCTATTTATGGCCATGAAACTAGCAAACTTTTTTTCACTATATAAGTAAACTACGCACAAATGTTTGTTGCTCATAGCTATAGTCTCATACTGTAGAATATTCTTTTATTTATTTATCAAGCAATATAGCTGATATATATACGTGTGTATGAGTGTGTTTGCTATGTGCTTCAAAAGAAAAAGAGAAATAAGACAACGGTTTAACTTAGCAAGTGATCTGATTGTTAGCACAAAATTACAATAAAAGAGTTATTTTTGGATGAGAAATAAATCTTCATTGTAGTTAACTAGTGATATAGTGAAGAAAATTTTGCTGGTTTCATGTCTATAAATCGACTGTTCCTTCATGAATAAAAACTTCTATCTGTCTGTTCTCTACCTTCAGAAACAAATTCAGTTCATTTAGTTGAAGATTGATAAACATATTCAAATTTTCCTAAGTTTAATGACTTTCCTGACACCCTATATATAAAATCTATTATTAGGAATAGGAGTGCAACAAATCCTATTTTTCTACATAAAGATTGTAAATTTTCGGCATGAAGACCCACCAAATCCGACCAAATCTTTGCATCAACTATAAACAGTTTTATTTGCTCTACTCGATAATGGTGTAAAATAACCAAATCTATAAAAGAAACTCCTAAGATTTGGTAGGATTTGGTGAAAATATGACAGTTTTTACCAAACCCTACCAAATCTTAGAAGTTTCTTTCTTAGATTTGGTCATTTTACACAATTATCGAGTAGGGCAAATAAAACTGGTTAGTGTGGGGTGTGGCTGTGTGGGTGGGTGTGGGTGTGGATATCTTCTCATCTCCCACACCCACACACAGCCACACCCACCCACACCCCACACCCACCCACATCCGCACCCACACCCACCCACATCCGCATCCACACCCACACACCTACACCCACCCACACCCCACACCCACCCACCCACACTCTACAATGGAGCTTCTTTCTAAGAACAGTCGTGCTCTGATAATTATCATTAATTGCATTATTGAAGAAAAATGCAACGAAATGTCTTATTGCTAGTCATTGTATAATTTTAAACGATCTGAAGCATCTAAAATCATATTGAAATGAATTTCGTTGCATATGTATGTTTGTTTTTGGCTTTTTTGTCATCAGTCTTCGTCCATTCATCCTGGGAATATTCCATTGTTGCTATGTGAAGTCCTTCTCAATTGGATGCATATTTAAAAGGAGTTAAAAAAAACGAAAAAGAAGGAGGCAAAACACACAGAAACAACAAAAAAACGTTGTCATGCTACAGGAGTAAGAATTGAATTATTTCAAAAAAAAAACAAGCAAACAGTGTACAGCGCAAAAAAATTCGAATCAGTAGCAAACGTATCGGTTGCAATTATTTGGCTGTGGTGAGTTAATTCTTAGGGAGATTCCACAAGGAAAAGAAGAGAATATATCCTATTCTGCCTTGTCGCACATTGCGGGAATCAATTCCACCCCCAGAATCAGTTCCACCCGATTCTGGAATTTCCAATCGTCGACCTAACTCGGCTTATTCGAAAACGATCGAGTTCCCTCAATTTCCGGCACTGCCGAAATTCCGTGCAATTCCGGAATTCCGTCTCATCCTCACTCTCAGCATGCCTTGTGTAGTTATAGAGAAATATCTAAAATAAGTGAGTGATTCTGGAACGGGATTCCGAGAATTAGATCAAAGCGGAATTAGACGGAACCTCACGAAATTCCTAGCAATTCCGGAATCCCATCTCATTTTCACCCTCAGCATGCCTTCTGCAGTTAAAGATAAATATCTAAAATAAGTGAGCGACTCCGGAACGAAATTCTGGGAATTAGATCGAAGCGGAACATGTCATGGTAAATTCCAATTTTCAGGAAATTCAAAAAAGTGACTGTAGGAGAAATTTCATGGAAATTTCATTGAATGCTTTTAAGAATAGTCATAGAAACTCTTCTAACAAAAAAAAAATATAGAAATGAAGTTGAAGTCTGAGTTAGGGTTCCGTTGAATTGAGTTGGGGTGAGTCAAGCCAAGTAAGAATATAAATCTATATGTATATATAAAATATATGATTCAATCTCGGGTAGGATTGGATTGGGTTGAGTTGGGTTGAGTCGGGTTGAATTGGTTTGGGTTGAGTTGGCTTGAGTTGGCTTGAGTTGAGTTGGGTTGAGTCGGGTTGAGTTGGCTTGGGTTGAGTTGAGTTGAGTCGAGTCGGGTTGAGTTGGCTTGAGTTGAGTTGGGTTGAGTTGGCTTGGGTTGAGTTGACTTGGGTTGAGTTGGCTTGGGTTGAGTTGGCTTGGGTTGGGCACTTGATCCAACCCAACCCGAAATCAAAACAACTGTTTTATATTTATCTATAGCCCATGTGAAAAATTGCGGAAAAAGTCAGCTTTAGAGAGGTCAAAATCGATTTTTAATCAATAATTCAGCAGTAATAGTCATGGCAAAATCAGACTTTAATCGACTATTTCGATTATTATGATTGTAATCGATTTTTGAAAATATTCTAAATCGATTATAATCATAATAATCGAAATAGTCGATTAAAATCTGATTTTACCATGATTATTACTGCTGAATTATTGATTAAAAATCGTATGATTTTAATCGATTTTTAATCGATTTTTTTTACATGAGTAGGCATATATTCTTCCTTGACTTGATCCAACCCAACCCAGCCCAACCCAAAATCAAATCATCTATTTTATATTCATCTATAGATATATATTCTTCATTGACTTGACCCAACCGAACCGAACCCAACCCGACCCAACGTGACCCAACCGAACTCAACCCAACCAACCCCACCCAACCTGAAGTCAAATCATCTGTTTTATATTCATCTATAGATATATATTCTTCATGGACTGGACCAACCAAAGCCGATCCAGCCCGAAGTCAAATCACCTATTCTATATTCATCTATAGATATACATTCTTTATTGGGTTAACCCAACCCAATCCACCCCAACCTAAGAGATGGACACTTCACTTCTCAGATGTTGAAAAATTTGAATTTCAAGGAAATCGGAATTTACCATACCCTCAAGCGGAATTAGACGGAATCGCACGGAATTCCAAGCAATTCCGTCCGATACCGGAATTACATAGAATTCCGGAATTCCATCTGATCCTCACCACTAGCTTGTCTTCTACAGTTAAAAATAAATATCTAAAGTAAGCGAACGATTCCGGAACGGATTTCTGGGAATTAGATCGAAGCGGAGTTACACGAAAGCGCACGGATTTCCTAGCAATTACGACCGATTCCAAAATTACATCCAAATCCGGAATGGAACTGAATTGCTAGGAATTAGTGGTAATTCCGTCTAATTCCACTTCGATCTATTTCCTGGGATTCCGTTCCGGAATCGCTCCCTTATTTCAGATATTTATCTTTAGCTACACAAGGCAAGCTGACGGCGAGGATGAGACAGAATTCCGGAATTGGATGCCATTTCGAAATCGCATGCAGTTCTGGAATCGGACGGAATTGCTAGGACTTCTATCCGATTCCGTGTAATTCCACTTCGATGTATTTCCGGGAATTCCGTTCCGAAAGGGTGTGGGTGTGGACATCTTCTCATCGCACACATACCCACACCCACACCCACACCCACCCAAACCGACACCCACACCCACACCCACCCCCACCCATACCCACACCCACACCCACCCACACCCACACCCACACCCATACCCACCCACACCCACACATCATATATCAAAATCCAAAATACCAACCACATTTACACCCACATTCATGGCTCTTAATAAATACTGAGTAATTTCCGTATAAAAATACGTATACTTCTCGTTGCGCAGATTTTCAATGACTCAATTGATTACTAATTACTTGAGCAATCGTTTAGCAGATAACTATGAATCGAAAACAGGATGAGCAATTAGAAAACAATTTCGTGCGGAATCTTTCGATTTCGATACTCGATATGATGAAAAATAAACTTTTCATTATAGTTCAGAATAAAACTTTCCCACTCAACCACAGAAAAAGATTTGGAAAAAGTAATCGTCAAATGCTCTTCAGCTATATTTCTATATTCTATTACAGTTAATTGTTTTAAAAAGAAAGAAGTTTTGATGAATTC